TACATTTTCCCATTCAGATGGTTGTCTCTTTACCTTGTTGATGATTTCTTTTGCTGAACAGAAGCTTTTTAGTTTGATGTAGTCCCATTCATTTATTTTAGCTTGTACTTCCCTCGCTTTTGAGGTCAAATTCATAAAATCCTCTTTAAGTCCAAAGTCCTTGAGTTTAGTTCCTATATTTTCTTCTACGCATTTTATTGTTTCAGGTCTTATATTCAGGTCCCTAATACATTTTGAGTTAATTTTAGTGTGTGGTGATAGGCAACAGTCTAATTTCATTCTTTTGCAGGCGCCTTTCCAGTTTTCCCAGCACCATATTGAAGAGGCTTTTCTTTCTCCACTGTATGTTTTTGGCTTTTTTGTCAAAAATTATTTGCCCATATAAATACGGGTTTACTTGTGGGCTCTAAATTCTGTTCCACTGGTCCGTGTGTCTGCTTTGCTGCCAATACCATGATGTTTTGATTACTGTCGCTTTGTAGTATAATTTGAAGTTGAGCAGAGTGAAGCCTCCAGGCTTGTTCTTTCTTCTCAGGATGGCTTTGGCAACTCAGAGTCTTTTGTGCTTTCATACAAATCTGATGATTTTTTTTCCTATTTCTTGAAAAAATGCTGATATGCTGATGGGATTTTTATGGAAATTGCATTAAATCTGTATAATGCTTTAGTAATATGGTCATTTTAACTATGTTGATTCTTCCAATCCAAGAACATGGAATATATTTGCATTTCTTTCTATCTTCTTTGATTTCTTTTAATAGGGTCTTATAGTTTTCATTGTATAGGTTCTTCACTTGTTTTGTTAAATTTATTCCTAGATATTTTATTCTTTTTGTTGCAATTGCAAAAGGAATTATTTTTTCCACTTCTTTTTCTAACACTTCATTATTAGAGTATAGGAACACTATGGATTTTTGACCGTTGATTTTGTATCCAGAGACTTTACTGTATTTGCTTATTGTTTTTAGTAGTGGTCTTGTGGAGTCTTTAGAGTTTTCTATATAGAGAATCACGTCATCCGCAAATAGTGACAGTTTGCTATATTCGGTTTGCTAGTATCTTATTTAGGATTTTTGCATCTGTGTTCATGAGAGATATTGGTCTGTAGTTTTCTTTTTTTGTGTTATCTTTACCAGGTTTTGGTATCAGAGTAATATTGGCCTCATAAAATGAGTTAGGAAGTATTGCCTCCTCTTCAATTATTTGGAAGAGTTTGAGGAGAATAGATATTAAATTTTCCTTGAATGTTAGGTAGAATTCACTGGTGAAGCCATCTGGTCCTGGACTTTTACTTTTTGGTAGGTTTTTGATGATTGTTTCAATTTCCATACTGCTGATAGGTCTACTTTGATTTTCTAGTTTTTCTTGATTCAGTCTAGGAAGGTTGTATTTTTCTAAGTAGTGGTCCATTTTTTCTAGGTTATTAAATTTGGTGATGTATACTTTTTAATAGTATTCTTGTATGATCCTTTGTATTTCTGAGATTCAGTCGAAATTTCACCTCTTTCATCCCTGATTTTGTTTATTTGTGTTCTTTCTCTTTTTTCTTTAGTGAGTCTAGCCAGGGGGTTGTCAATTTTATTAACCTCCTCAAAGAATCAGCTCTTTGTGGCATTTTTTTAATAGTTTTTTGTTCTGTTTTGTTTTCAATTTCATTTATTTCTGCTCTAATTTTGATTATTTCTTTCCTTCTGTTGACCTTAGGCTTAATTTGTTCTTTCTTTTCTAGTTTTTTTTTCAGAAAATGTTAAGTTGTTTATTTGGGCTTGTTTTTGTTTTTGGAGATAAACCTGTAATGATATGAACTTTCTTCTTATGACCGCTTTTGTTGTGTCTCAAATTTTTGATATGTTATACTATCATTATCATCTGTTTCTATGTATCTCTTGATCTCTCTTTTTATTTTTTCTCTGACCCAGTTATTTTTCAGTAGCATGTTCTTTAATCTCCATGTATTTATGGTTCTTCCTGCTTTCTTTTTGTAGTTGATCTCTAGTTTCAACTAGAGGCTATCTTTGTGCCCCAGTATGTGGTTGATTCTTGAGAATGTTCCATGTGCACTAGAGAAGAATATATAAGTGACTGTTTTGGAATAGAAGGCTCTGTAAATATCAATTATGTCCAGATGGTCTAATGTATCATTTAAGGATGTTATTTGCTTCTTGATTTTCTGTTTGGATGATCTGTCCATATCCGACAGTGGGGTATTTAGGTCCCCTACTACGATAGTGTTTTGGTCTGTTTTTCCCTGTAGTTCTGTTAGTAATTACTTTACACATTTCGAGGCTTCCTGGTTGAGAGCATAGATATTAAGAAGTGTTATGTCTTCTTGGTTCTAACATTTTCCTAATGCATGTACTAATGTCCAATCTGATTATTTATTTATTTAATAACAGATCACTCTGCAGGTTATTATTTTTGAACAATTTTTTTCTTGGGCTTCTCCTGCTCAAATAAGTTTATATCCAACCAATCATTACAACATTTACTATTCATTCCCTTTTTTATCCTCACTCCTTTCTTGAGAACAATAGCACTCTTCATCTGCAATAACTTACATCTTCTTGTCTTATGATAGACACAGAAAGAAGGAAACTTAAAATTAAACTCTTGTCAAGAGTTTTGTTTGCTTATTTAACATAATCATCATCATTATCAAGACTATTACTATTATTATTAACTATATCAGTTCATATTTATGGCATTTTCAGTCCATCTTCATAGTATTTAAATTTTTGAAGTTTTACAGTATTCCTAAATTAATATATTGTAGTCAGAGAAGCATCAGTGTTACTCAGCGTTACTAAAATATCTCTGTAGCCGTTCTTTCTTTCTTGTTTGCTTGCCTATGGAATCAGGTAAACAACCCTCTATCATAAAACATAGACACAGTGAAAGAAATAGGTTAACATGTTTTTAAAAAGCAAAAATTTTTCTCATATGTTCCATAGTTAGTAAAGTAGTATAATAAAAATAAATCTATATAGTTAATATGATACTATCCACAGAATCAAGATGTTAATTGCAGAAAATTTCTCATAAGTGATGTAGATTAAAACCCTAGTTTTAAAAGAAAAATACTGTGCATAATAGTACAAAAGCAATACAGAAAAACACATTTTTTGTGCCTCACAAAACTGTAGAAGAAACAAATCCACATTAGTTTTATGGATTTGACTCAGCAGACATGATTCTCATGGGGAAACCACAAAAGAATTCAGATATAGCAGGTAACACACACACGTGCGTGCACATACACATACACACATAACTAGCTGCTTCTAGACATACTTTTAGGAACATTTCCTTTATGCTATAGTCCCAAAATATTGATCTACTGTTGATGGTGAAAAACCAGGTATCTCTTTCATTCCTAACTGAAATTCCATGAAAGGTTATAGTTTGAAAGGTGATTTTTATTCTAGATTTTATTTCTCTTCAAGTATGTTTGTATATTTAGACCAAGGTCTTTGGAAGGCTGCTTTCTTCTGAGGATTTTGGTTCACTTATCTTTTCTAAGGATGTAAATGTCTTTCTGATTCACCAGATTTCACAAACAAGCAAGATATTAAATGGAAGCAACATATCATCAGTAAATAGGTATGGAATGCCATGCCATCATTATAGAAATAATTCTTGGGATCTTATTTATAAAAATTATGAACCTCAAATTTCTCTTAATTGTTTCTGCAGCAGCAACATGATTCAGGGAACCTATTTCATTTTTAAATATAGCAAAGAAACATGTAGCACTCAGCTTTCCCAATATATGATACATGTTCTTTCATAGCATTAATCGGTAATTTGGTCTAGTTTGTATTTTGACTACAAAGAACAGTGTTGAGATTGGGCAGTTTTATAGACACATAATCATTTTTTAAAAAATGTATCTATATATTTGTTAAAAATAAATTTATAACTTTAAACAAATAGATCTTCATTGGAAAAGAATTTAGAAGATTATTTGTTTAACTCCACATTATTAAAATAATTAAAATTAAAAGAAAAATACTTAGTTCAGAGAGCAGAAGCAATTTAACCAATATCATATAGCCAGTGTCAGATGTAGGAATAGGAGAAGGATTTCTTGAGTCTTAGTCTTTTTGTTCTATGCTTTTAAGATTAACCTGAGAGAGAAAGAATATATATACAATGAATGGAACCAGCATTTTATCCTAACACGACCGTAGGATTATGTATTGGTAGAGAATGATTCAAATATAATCAGGCACGTGAGGCTGTTCTCCGTTAAAAGATAGGGACTCTGTTTGGCGACATTTATCTCTGCCTGTATTTCTGTCACTCGATTTCTTAAATAGCCATGAAGAACAATAATAAGCATAAGAATAAGAAAGAGGTTTTTCCACTTTCTAGCTATTCCTCTAGACTTTAATCTTTAAACTAGTTTTAGGTTGTCTTTTCATAGCAATCATACCACATTTTATATTTTAAAAAATGGAATAAAAATTCATAGGCACTGTAGATATATTATATTTCATGTTTTGATTAATATAGTGTTATATGGGAAAATTAAATAATAGTTGATATGAGTTTCATAATATGATTTCTTGCGTAAAAGTTTGCTAGTGCCTGCATGTTTCTTTTACTATAGCTTTGAAAAGGTGATGAAAGCAATTTATGTAGTAAGAAGCATAAGTGCATACTGTACACTTCATGATATAAGAATCATGATGATGGCGTGCTAATCCAGACTCTCTTACTCTAGAGACAAAAGACTATTGAATCCTCCACTCCAAAGTAGACATCATGATTTTTGTTTTGTTGTTTTGTTTTCAACAGTAGTACCTACAGATCCTTTCTTCTGACTGGTTTCCCTGACCTGGTAGATTTGCATCAGTAACTTCCATTTTGCTTCGTGCCCTCTGCCTAATTGCTTATATGGTAATATATCATCTTTGTAGTTATATGGATGGAACAGTCACTTCATGAACCCATGTACTTTTTCCTCTCCCTGTTGGCAGCTAGTGACCTGGGACTCCATGGTGCCACCTTGCCCACAACTTTTCTGGTTCAATGTTCCTGAAATAGACTTTGATCCCTGCCTCATCCAGATGTTCTTCATCCATGTTTTTAATTTCATAGAGTCTGGCATCCTCTTCACCATGGTTTTTGACCACTATGTGACTGTCTTCAACCCACTTAGGCAAACTACTGTTTTGATGAATTCTACCATTGACGAGATGGGTATAAGGCCTTTGCTATGGGCTGTGGCTGTCATCTTCCCAGGACCCTTCATTAAGCAACTGATATTTTGGAAGACTAATGTGCTCCTCTACTCATACTGCCTGCACACCCAGATATCAAGCTCTCTTGTTCTGACCACAGCATCAATAGCATCTATGGCCTCATTATCATTCTCATCACCCATGGACTGGATTCCGTATGCATTCTCTTTTTTGAAGATTCTGTCACTGTGCTAGGCATTGCCTCTAGGAAAGAACAATTTAAGGCCCTTACTTGTGTCTTCCACAACTGTGCTGTGCTGTTGGTCTGTGTCCTTCTGCTGAAGGTATCTATTATCCATCACTGTGGAAAACATGTTCCACCTATGGTGCACATTATCATGGACTGTATATACCTATTGATCTCTCTTGTTCTGAAACCCGTTGTATACTGCATTTGACAAAACAAACAAACAAACAAACAAACAAACAAACCCATGATGTCTATTATTTTGGAGTGCAGGATTCAATAGTCTTTTTTCTCTAGAGTAAGAGAGGCTGGATTAGCACACCTGAATTCTGGGTAATCTATTCAAATTATAATAGAGAGGACTTTCAGATCTTTTATACATTCTGGGATAATCCCTATGAATTCAATATAACTTGAGCCAAGGAAACATATATTACTGAGAAATATTCCTGTGTTTATAATATTCATTTACTTTTTTGTCTCTTTCACTATTCTGGGAGTTTTTGAAGATAGCAAAAACATTTTACGACCTTTTATTTCCCTCAAGTAACTCAACTAAAATACATAAAAAATAATTATACAAAGAGAGTGAGTTCTCAATAATCTATGTGGTCAGAAAGTTCCAATATCCATGGAAATCAGTAGATTTGTTCAAAGACCTGTAACACAGAACATAAGGCATCCAGTATAGGTCATGCTATAACCTGACTCCATGTAGTCTGTAATTTAACTTCTGATGAATATCCAATACACATACCTCTTCTATGATTTTTTATTATCTATCCCTGAAATTATATTTAATTTTTTCAGCTTTTAATTATGAAATTTTTATCTTATTTAGATGTTACTTTATAAAAATAGTATTCTATTTTACCATGTATATGACCAATTTTTTGACATCTATTCATAAGTACACATATGAAGTTTATAAAACTAAGCAGAAAATTATAGAATAGACATTAACTGGTGTATTGGCAGGCCAAGTAGTACCCTTTGTTTCAAATTTTTATTTGTTGATTAGCATTTTTATGATGTATAAAATGATGTAACTAAATGTAAATAAAAGTAGGGTATTAACTTTTAATATCTGTTGGAGAATGTGTTGCTAGGAAGATTTGATAGAGGAAAGATACATTTTGTTTTGACGGGACCAACTTAAATAGTTTTTGCCTCTAGGGAGTCATTAAAATAACATAAAAATAGAGAAATAACAGTGCTTTAGATAGGTTTCATTTGCAGCATAATCTGCTAAGAATGAGAAAGAGATACTTTATGAGCCAGTACATCAACTTCTCAAAGGTTGTATAGGGCCTTACATATTCCTTGCTCCCACATTTTACTGATTGACTTTCCTAGACTTATGTCTTTCCTATATCTATTGCAAGAAAACAAACAAACAAAAACACCTGAAGTTTCCACAACATTTTGCTTACAAAGCATAGTTTTCTAGACATTCATGAGAAATTTGTAGTATTTCTAAAAGATTGTATGGTAAAGTAGGAGCTTGTAAATTTAACTCATTACCTCACCTGTGCCTCTAAACAATCTATCGCCAGCCCACCTTGTCCTTAGTCCTGACTCTCTAGAAAACAGATGGATGTTTTCTGCAATTGTTATTTTTAGTTTCTCATTTATCAATGCCTTTGCCCTATCTGGGAAACAATATATTTTCTTTTCTCTCTCTCTCTGTAAAGTGTATACTTCATTAAGATAGGGAACATGTGCATTCTTTTCACTGGTATATTTATACTAACAAGGAACCCGGCATGCACGTGACCTATAAAATATGTATTGAACGAATAAAGAAGTTGATGAATTATCACAAATTATTTTAGACATAAACCACAAAGTGGAAAAAAAAGATTCAAGGCTATAATCTGAATCAGGAAAAAATACATAAATTTTAAGGGCATTAGAGAAAACCAATTGAATAGATGATTTTGTTTTGTATCAACATAGATATTTACGATTAGACACTATCTTGTGAGAGCAAGAACAAAGATGAGGTTGAGACAAGTATTTTGGCATGTAGGAAAATTCTAAAAGAATATCATATTATTGGACCCTATTTTGAATGTTCTTCAGTGAAACAGGTGGCATAGTTCTATACTATTCAGTGTTTTCTGACTGATATTAAATAATTTTTCAACATTAGTGATGAAGGTGGTCATGGATGTTAAAACAGGTGATTTAGTAGATCACTTTTAACTAAGAAGGCACATGATTTCAGAGTTCAGAAGTACATGAAGCTACAAATATAATTAATTTTGAAAATAAAGTTACATATGAACATAGCCTGCATTAATTTCATCTTCAACACTGAGTAGCATCATAATTATTTATCTCCACTAAAAGAATCTTCTTATTTTCCTGATATTCTTCAACCTTGGTAATAAACTTGTCTCACTTCTTGGGCTATTCAACATTTAATGAGTTAACTTTTGTTTTCTCCTCAAGTAAACATAGATCCATAAACTCCTTTTAATTAATAATACATTTGTATTTTACCTTAATCTTATCATGTATAATCTCCACCAAAAACTGGGGCTTATAACCAAAACTTATATACTCTTCTCCTAATCAAGGTGTACAGATACATGTGAATTGTTATTATGAAAGACTAGTTTAGTCAGTTAATCCAAATATTGACTATGGCTCTCAGGTATTAAAGTAGTCATTCTACGTGTAAAATGCCCAAAAGACTTCTCGGCCCAGAGGTGATTTCTTGAGTTGTTTTTATAAATATTGATGTACAATACAGGTGAATACACACACACACACACACACACACACACACACACGCACACACACATTCATCTCTTCTCTGAATTCTTATAAGCTAGTCATAACTGTCTGGCTTATAAGACCTAAGATTTAAGACCTAATAATATCAGTAGGAGGAAATTCAAGATCTGCCTTTTGTGTTCTCAAAGGTTTAGAAACGTCATGCATTTAAAAGGTAAGTTAGAATAGTTTAGTGGATAAAACTATGAGTTCTGCAATTATGATGCCTGGATTTTAAAACAGGCTTTATGTACTAGTTAGTGATGTGACCTTGAGAAAGTCCTTCAGTACATGAGTTCTCTCTGTGTAAAACTGGGATATTAGCAATAGCTACTTCATATAGTAGTTGTGACCATTAGATTGGACAATCCATGTAAAGTGGTTAGAAAAGTTTTTAGGGAAATGTTTTAGCACATTGTAAACATTGATAAATATTTAAAAAATAATTATTATTTTCATCATTAGTGCTATATTGCCCATTCCTGTGCTGATAATGCGATATGTCTTATGTTTAAATATGGTGGTATTTTCATTATAGTGGTTACGCAGTAAAACCAAAAACTGCTGGGAGACGATCAGATAAATGAAGTGAAGCCTCAGTCTTACAAGGCTAAGAAAAAAAGTTGTTTTCGTTTTGTTTTGTTTTAGCAAATTAACCATTTTTTCAACAAATTAATCATTCAAAAAAAAAAATATCTCTTTTGGTATTTTATTAAAAGCCACTTAGTCTATTCTATATGTTTGCCTTTTGATGAAAAATTTTGTTTTGTCTTCTTAATCTGAATTTTGTGTGTTGGAGGATGGATGGAGGAGGGAGAGAGAAAAAGGAGAAAAATAGTGTGAGAGAGAACAGGATAAATAATGTCGATAATGTGATCACGTGTCCTATTTTCTTCTTAAAGGCTAGAATATTTGTTAAGGATTTCAATTTGCTCAAAGGACAATAGGTAGAGATCTTGACATAGTCTAGTTTTTCACTGATGGTGTAACAGCCTCACATGAAAACTGAAGCCTATGCAGATTCTAGATTTTAGTGGCTCTATTTAGATGAAATAGCATTTATTATCTGTAACTTTGAAGCTTCCTAAAATTTGCAGTTAAAAAGTGTTTGGTTCCTTTGTCAAAAGTACTGCATTTGATTACAAACTTGACTAATTGAATTGATGTCTTATAGTCCTGGTAATAAGCAATTTTTTATTTGAAGCATTTTTAAAGAAAAGTTATTTTTTACTTTATAATTATTTGATATATTAAAAGTAAGAATTACCAATTTTAAAAACTTATTAAAATTAGAGCCTGTTCTTTAATTAGTGAATGTGAAAATCGGCCACTATTCTGTAGAAGGCTCTTTCAATGATAGGTACTGAGTAATTATGGGCCTTGACATTCTTCAGTGACTTTATTATTTTGAATGAGAACATTCTGTACTCTGAATTTTTATTTGTCTTCTTTGACTACATTTCATGATCCCTGAGTTAGTGCTTATTAGGGTGTTAATAATATTATAACTTTGCATAGGAGTTTAATTCTCCCATTGATACAATAATTATCTTCAAGAGTTCAAATAAGACAAATAAGTAAAATATTTTTTCTTTATTATGGAAAAATTATTCCAAAAGAACATATTTCACACCCTCATACCCTCTGGATGGGAAACCAGAATTGGAGTCTTCACAATGACTCTGGTTATATATCAGTCTACCATCCAACCCATTTCCTAACTAAATTTGTTCATCAAACAATGTAATATTAATTACTTCCAGTGTTCTACTCTGTATTATAGAGAAAAAAGAAAGAAAACTAATAACTTTTTTTAAATTTAATAATTTATTATCAAATTAGAAAGGCAAAAATTACATAATAGCATAGTTAAAATTTAAAAACATATACATAAATTATGCAGTTATAATTAATATTATAAAAATAAAGAATTCAGCTCGAATTTTCTGATTCACATTTTTTTTCAGTGAGAACAAGATGTCTTGTAAAAGAGAAGTGGTTTTCCCATAATTATATAGCTATTTGGCAACTTTTCTCAGACCATTTTATTCTCCTTCTACTTCATCATGCCAAAATTAATGGTTTGAACTTGACTGGAATAAAGGAAGAAATACTCATTTTCTGCTATTATTTATTCTAGCTCTTTTCTCTGTTTTTCATGTAACAGATTTTGGCTACCTCTCTGTAACAACATGCAACTATACATCCACTCACTTCACTGCCTTTCTGCTGACTGGAGTCCCAGGATTAGAAGACTTCCAGTTCTGGATCTCCATCCCTTTCAGCTTCATGTACTTTTTGGCCATGATAGGCAATGGCTTGGTTATGGCAGTGGTGGCTTGGGACAGGAACCTCCATGAACCCATGTATATCTTCCTGGCCATGCTGGCAATCAACGATGTCCTCCTTTGTACTGTCATAGTGCCCAAAATGCTTCTCATCTTCTGGCAGGGCCCTTCCTTGTCAACATTTCCTGCATGTCTCACACAGATGTTTTTTGTTCATGCTTTGTTCCTCTCTGAATCTGCTGTTCTACTGGCCATGGCTTTTGATCGCTATGTGGCTATCTGCGCACCACTCCATTATGCAACCCTACTTACAGGGTCTCTCATTAGCAAGGTGGCCCTGACACTGGTGGCTCGGAGTGTGGCTGTAGTTACCCCTGGTGTCCTTCTGATTCTCCGTCTGCACTTCTGCCAGAGCAATGTCATCCACCATACCTACTGTGAGAACATGGGCATCGCCAAGTTGGCTTGCAATAGCATTACCCTTAATAGCATTTATGGGCTCACCGCAGCTCTTCTCACTACAGGGCTGGACTTTGTTTTCATCTCCATGTCCTACTGGGTAATCCTGAGAACAATCTTCCAACTACCTTCTTGGGAGGCCCGGACAAAGGCCTTTGGAACTTGTGGAGCTCATATATGTGTCATCTTGATATTCTATACTCTGGCCTTCTTTTCCTTCTTTACCCATCGCTTTGGAAACCATGTGCCCAGGCATGCCTTGATCCTCCTGGCAAACCTCTACTTACTGGTGCCACCTACCATGAACCCCATTATTTATGGAGTAAAGACAAAAGTGATAAGAATGCGAGTACTAGGGTTCTGTAACCAACCAAAATGATCCAAGCATTCTGAAGCAACAAGGAAATGGGCAGTCCAGGATGGAGGGCTATATTTAAATGTCAAGTCTGCATCAATATGGCAGATCTATCTCCAGAACACTTAACCTCTGGGTAGAGCTTGAAGTATTCATATTTCCAGGTGCTATCTTTCTAACATTAGTAAACAGGAAACCAAAAGAACTGCTCAGGTTCCATCAAGGAATATCTCAGTATATTAAGGTAATAATCAATGAAATGTCACTGCAACAGCATAGGGGTTTAAGTATCTTTCTGGTAATACACAATGCCTCTTCTGTGTTAATTATCTATAGACAGGACAAAATGTACACTGCATAAGTTCAGGGATTAGTTCCAATTCCAACTTCATCATTACATCCAGAGGACCCAGAATATTTGTTGAATAGATAAACGCCTTAACTAATAAAATAATAAATGCTAATTATTTTATGTAACAAACTCCCTGACATGTCCTTATATATTATATAAGACCTATAATTAAAGTACTTCTTTTTCTTCTCAAAAACCTTTCCTTTAGCTTCCAGAAAATATATCAATTTCATATCTTTTTAAAACCTTAATGCAATAAAGATCCTTTTGGTTGTACACAATAGAAATGTCCTTTGGTTAGATTAAGTTAACAAAAAAGCAGGATCTGAGTTACATCATGATATCCAAGGATGATTTAAATATTTATGACTCAGGAACAACAAAATCCAGGCTGCTGTAGGACTGCAACAGCAGGAGAGTGTGCACTTCTCTAATGGATCTGGTGATACTATCCTGTCCCAGCTGCAATGATTATGGGACAAGAAGTTTAATTGTCTTATATTGGGTCAGATTGCTAAACCTGGATCAATCTGTTATGTCCCTAATATTCTGATTTAATGGGAATGAAATTGTGTCAGATCAATTCTCAAAATATTTGCCAATTCTCAAAATTGGCAAAATGATAAGAATTATGTTCACTGAATTAATTTGGCTCTTTTATACAAACCCATGCAATTTTCCTAGTTTAGCTTTTTCTACACCAAATGTTCTTACTAATTGCATTCTATAGTACCTGGGACATCCTTTATCATTTATAAACCTATCTATCATAATCCTGCAACATAATTCCTTTCTCCACTGGAAAATATTCACCTCTTGATTAATAAAAGAGCTAAAATATTTCCTTGGCATCAAACAATAAAAAAGTACATCATGAATATAATATAAACATATACATGGCCCAGTGATTGAATTAATTTCATTGAATGTCTTGAAAATACTTACATTATTCTCTTTATAAATGCATATGGCTATTTCTAGAGTCCCTGTGCAATCAGTTTTTTATCCACATGGTAGTTTTTTTAAAGAAATTATGTTTTTATTGTTTAAGTGAATAGAATTAATAAATTAATGACTTAGTGGGGTACTGAAGTATTTTGCAGCAACATTTTGTATAGATGTCAAAGGTAGTGAAAAGGATAGAGATCGTCTCTGTTATTATTTTTTTCTTGCCATCGTGTTTTGCCACAAAGGGCCTTCTGCAGCATAAAGATGATTGATGAATAATCCAAACGATAACATTTGACATTATGAAAACAATTACACTGCATTTTCTTTTTTTTTTGCTTAATGATCGGAGATTGGAATACAAAAATGAATTATTATTTGAATTTCTGGGTATCTTACAGATTCTGTGGGAAGGCAGAGAATACTTTCAGAAGGCAAATAAATATGCATGACTTTATCAAACAAGGTCATATGAGTAAGAGCATCTCTTAATTTATAAATTTATATGCAAATGAGATAGATGCCTTAATCATATTGTAGTTTTAGGCAGAACAAAAAGGACTTCTTGCTTTACAAGCACTAGCTGCTTGCCAGAAGACTGAACTCTGGATTTCATTACAGTTCCAAAAACAGATGATGCTTCTGCTTTCCATTCATAATACAATCTTGCCATCCATTCATTTATCCATTCATTCATTTGTTTATTTATTTATAGATTTAATCATTCATCTCTTTACCAACCATATTTTTCTGGGAAGAATTATCTCAATTTCAAGAATATGTGTTCTTTAAATGTTTTTGGTAAAACATATTTTATGTATAACTCTAATAATAATTTTTAAAATCTACTTTAAGCTACATTTTCTAGCATTTTTCTAAATTTTCAAGTTTTATTATTTTTATTTGTAATATTTATTACAATAAATATCATGTATGGCTTACCTATGAAAAAACTCTCCTGGATTACCTTCAAACTGGCCTAAGTCCTATATTCTTGTTTTGTACATCTAGGCATATTTCCATACAGCTTACTGAGAAGGGGAAGGCTAGAGGGAGAACAGAGTTGTGGAGATTGGAATTCAAGAATTGCATTTCAGAAGTATTCACCTGAAATTCGTATTAGCTACCCATATGGAGATGTTAAGTTCTATTTAGCATATAGAGCAGGGATGATGACATAAAACTGGAAATTAACAATACATAGATTCTATTTGTAGCCATAAGAATAAACGTAGTCATAGAAGGAAAGATTATAAATATGCAGAAGAAAAAAATAGAATAGAGAAAAGAGTTCCTAGAGAGAAGGAGAAACTGGAAAAATATGTAAGGAAGATACAAAATAGCTTCAATGATTGCCTCTTTCTCCTCATCTTCTACTTCCAGTCTAATAGCAAGCTGTGCTGTTTCTACCTTTAGCTGGTCTCAAATCTCTTCATTTATTTTATCTTGACACACATCACCTGAATCCAAACTGCTATTAATTTTCTTCTGGCATATTCCACTAATCAATTTTCTATTTTCTCCTGCTCCAAACCTAATAGTCACCCCTGATTCCTTTTTGTTCTTCATGATCAGTTCATAAATTTAACTCCAAAATACATGTCTAATACATTCATGTTTCTTTATTTATATTTTAGTGACTTTAGAAACCTGAGGTTATCATAAACTTGGTCTTCGAAAACAGCCTTAGAATTGCCTATGTTTCTAATTTTAACATTCTTCATCACTTCTATAGAGGAGTCATTACAAATCACTGAAAAAAAGTTTCCTAATGCACTTAGATTAAATTTAAGATTTTTTTCATTGATGTATAAGGTCCTAAATAGCCCTGGCCTGTGCCTCTCATTAACCTTCTCAAGTACCACTCTATCCCTTTACTTACTTTACTCCAACTATCCTGCCCCTTTTCTCTTCCTCAATACTTAGCAAGAATTTTCTCCCAGCATAGAAGATACTTTTTTCATCATGTTCTGATATTTTTTCTTACAGTACTGTGAATTACTGGTTTATTCTTATCGTTCAGGTCTCAATTCAAATATTATCTTCTTACAGAGGTCTTCTTTGACCTTCTTTTTCTAAGTTCTTTCTAACTCTAGTGAGTCTCCAGCGCAACAACCTCTTAGCTTCCATCAAAGAATGTTTATATTTGCAGAAATGTTAGTTTTAATTTGTTTATTGCGGATTATTCTCACTACAACAAATATTCCTAACATCATGGAACTTATTTGCTCTATTATATTCCCAGTCCCTAGATTATAACTTATTATCTAGTGCATAGAAAAGAGTCAATTCAATGAATAAAAGAGTTGATTTAATAGAGGAATGTGAAAAAATTCTGTGTGCATGGTAGTACAAGAGATCATGAAACTTCTTTTCAGGGTAACATTCAGATAGTTTTGTGGGTTTTTTCTTTATTTCTATTATGTTCCTATCATGCTTACATAATGTATTGATCTTCACATTTTTTTTCCTAACCAGTGGAACAATTAAAATAACATATATCCAGGAACTGGAGAATGAGTAGTTATGAAACATAAAATTAATAATATATTTTGTGACCATTAAATTTATAATTATCAAAACTAACACCAAGAGAAAAGTCTTTGTTACATTATATTTTCTCATAGAAAATTAAGAATGATGTATACTTAATCCAGTCAAAAATCATTATGTAAAGCCAATGTACTTATAAATTTGAAATAACAGTTGAAAAAGCATATCAATAAACTAAGTATTTTTGAGCAACCACACATTAAGATTTTATAGCAAGGCAGATTGCAGTGAAGAAATTATCTGTTTTCTTCCCCTCTTCTTGGATCTATAATAAAAATAGTAGGAGAATAACTCTGAAGACTTGGTCTATCTTCTGCTCAAGAGTCTCTGCTCTGGAGTATGTTGAGCTCCACAGGGAACCCATGTACACTTGAGCCACTTTCTTGGGTCCTGGGAGGCTGTGGTCCTAGAACTATTAGTATAGTTGAAGTTAGTTGAAAAAGCAGTAGATTATAATAAAAGTAGGCCAAGAGCTTCTGATGATACAGGACAGGTAAGGTCAGGGATAACATAACCATCTCAATATCTCCCTTCATCAGCAAAGATATGGAACACAAGGGCCTGAGGACCAGTAGGCCAAAGAGATCAGAAAATAGAATAACATAGAAAGATTAAAATGAATGTCCTATGACAGTAGAAGGTGAAGAAATGATGGAGTGATTATTAATGTCTTCTATAAAGAAAAGTCCTCATCAAATTGACAAGATGACATAAAATCTTTTTACATCTTTCTCTTCATTTCTATCAATTCAGGATCTGAATCAACTGTGATACTTCTCGAATCACCGGATCTCACTTTGCTTTAGAATTTTCCTTTTCCCATATGATCTTGTCTGTAGGAAAGGCATGTCATCCAGTTGAGTTTTTATAAGTATAATTAATGCCAGTAAAAAGAAGAGACATAAAAGTAACAGACCCTTGACCCCCTGTTTAGTCAAAACCTAGGACAAAGTATACATATCACCATTAAGTGTACGTACAACAGACTCGAGGATAAGCCCGATTATTTGAGATATTTATCAAGGAGCTGAGTGAGGAATTCTAGGCTGTGATACAGAAAGAAGCACCTGGGAGGATAGGGATATGTGAGTTTACTCTATTTTCCAATTCTGCATCTTATCTGCACATATCGTCTCTGAATTATAGATCATTGATGCTGAAGTGAGAAGCA